AATTGTGTGTGTGTGTGTGTGTGTGTGTGTGTGTGTGTGTGTGTGTGTGTGTGTGTGTGTGTTTATGAGACGGCTTTTAAGTATTTGTAGATAGACATATTGGAATGTCATATTTGCAGGGCAGTCAGTTGCTGGCGTCTGGTTCTCGGGACCGTTACCTCAACCTACTAGATCTTAACAAGCTGGACCCAGACAATCCTAACAGTGCCAAAGATGTCAGGATATGGAATGTGATGAATGCGCACAAGGTAAATGATCTGAATCTTTCCAACAACAAATAACTGTATCACATCTGCCACATGTATAAATGCACTGAAATTGGTTATCAGTTGTCATATGTGTACTTTAAAAATGTATTGTAGAGTGTAAAAGAGCTTGTTGGACCTTATAGTTAGATTTATTTATTTAAAAAAATTGATCAATGTCATGTTAATAAAGGTGTTGTGCAAGGTAACATTACCCCACATTTTCTTCCTGTAGGTAATTTCATTTTCCTAGAAATCCCTAGGGGCTTACAGTCAAATAAGAAATGGATAAGGGTAGATAGTATAACTATGGATGATATGTATGTCTACCTGTTCCATGTTTGTATTACCAATAATGATAAAGTTAGCTACTTTCTTTCAAGGGCTGGATTTGGTCCATGAGCTCTTTTGACGACACATTACTCACTGGATCCTGGGATACATATCTCTCACTCTGGGACTTAGCAGGTGGTGGAGTGCCAAAGAGCAGAATAAAGTATGTGACAGAAAAAAAATTGTTTTTTTTTGGTAAATGAGTCAACGTGTTTAGTTAAATTTTTGTCAGGTTCTGACATATGAGATTTGTTTTATGTTCTTTGCAGTCATTTCTGCAACAAAATTTACTGACAGAATTGCACCCTACATGCCTCTTTACTTGAATTTACTGTGAATTTTATTATTAAATGTGCATACATTTTGATTTGTTTTGTTTGTTTTTTTCCTTTTTGTCACACAAGAATAAATATTATTAATTCTACTTACAGCAATGCAAATATTTTGATTCTAATCTTTTTCACACAGGTGCAAGTCTGCTGTGTTGTGTATAAAGACCTTTGATGAGCAGGTGACAGCAGGTGGTTACGACAATAAAGTATACACCATAGATCCACGGGTAGGCATTATGGCAGAGAAACGCTACCACAAGAAACCTGTTCTTTGTATGGCTGTGGACCAGGACTATGTTATTACTGGGAGTGAGGACCAGACTATAGTGGTGTATGACAAAAGGGCAGGAAGTGTATGCAAAACTATCTCGGTAGGAATTTATTTTGATTTGGCAGTTTAGATATTTTTCAAGATGATATTATTTTAGAACTTAATGAATGAGCAGTGATACCTGCTCCTTTGCAGCTTTGACCAACATCAACACAAAAACACTGACCATATGTGTAGGATACTTTCAAATGTATGGCTTTTGCTGATTTTTTTTTATGGTGATATGTTACTGGTAGAATACCTTTGAAATACGAACATTGTCATATGATAACTGGTAGGGTTCCATGTTTCAGAAAAAAGGTAGTGAGTCTTAGAGAACAGTTCCATTAGCTCTTTAATCTTTTACATTAACAAAGATGGCCTAGTTGTGCCTGCTTTAAGGTCAGGTTACCTGTCATGCAGAGTCAATCAAAAAATAGCAGTCTGATACTTTTGTGTCTTTTAAATGTAATTCATTAACCAAAGTGGAGTAAAGCCACCACAGTGAGTTGTTAGCACTTAGGCAGTATGAAAAAATACCTCAGTATCAGTATATGCATTGCATGCCAGTAAGCTAATAGTTTAATTAGCAAACTGTTTTAAAACTTGTTTTGTAAATTTTGTTATGGTAGTAACTAGTTAATAAACATCACATGAGCAGCAACTCCTGCTACTGTTCAGATTGCTTCACTACACTAAGGTTAGAGCTATACTATCTGTTTCAGCTGGAAGAAAGCTATGCCATGTCCATGTCATATGGCTTAGGACAGCTATGGGTGGGGTCCAAGGCAGGTGTGGTCCATCTTTTTGATGCAAGAGAAGGAAGGTTTGAACTGGAAGAAGTAGGTTTCAAAAATACAAGGATCAAAAACCAAGCATTAGTCTTGTGATAATGTTTTGGTACTGCATCAGTTGTGCAAAAATTGTAACATGCAAGCCAAGAAAAATCTTTAGAGCTTTTCCTACATTTAGCTTAAAAGCAGTACAGAGTTATTTTTGCATTTTGTTAGCCAACACAAAGTTGACTTGCTCTTGGAGTGACCATGATAGTTTAATTCTTAAAAGATGGGGTGTTCACAAGTTTCTAATTTTTTTCAGACATATGACATAGGGCACAGTGGAAAAGTGACTGGTGTCCACCATTCCTTAGGCTCTATTATGACCTGTTCTACTGACCGTTCCATCAAAATTCTCCAGCCAACCCGTGATCCAGACACCATCACAACACTGGACGTTCATGATTTAGATGTGGCAGGGGTGAGTATGCAGCCTACTGCACTAACATTATTGTAATTTTGTAGTTATTCAGGTATCATTGATTCTGAAGGAGACTGTTGGATGCTTGATACAAGCATTTTAAAATATGATAATAATCATTCTATCTGCAATAGACTATTTTAATTCACAACTTCAGATTTTATGTGCAAGTTTTGTAGATTTCGTAACACCACACTTTAGTAGGAAAAAAACTTATTTTTTCCTCAAATTTTAAAAATGGAGCTTCTTTGGTTTTACTCAACATAAAAGTAATATTGATATCTTTTCTCCTTCTTGCAGATTGACTTCCAAAACAATGTTCTTGCCAGTGCATCCTGTGATGTTTCCATAGGTATATGGAAAGAAAAAGTGAACACATGATGTTTTAACTTAATTGTTGCTCAAGAGTTTTATGTGATGTGTCCATATCATGCTGTTACTACTCATGAGCTTTTCATTTGTCACATTCTTGTGAGAGACAGCTTTGTATAGATTACAGAAATATTAGATGTATGTGTAATATGTACACACGAGAGCAAAGACTAAGTGGAGTTGTAATGATTCAGAGGGAATTTCAAAGAAAAATGCAACCTTTATGTACATATTAAAGAAACGATGTGGATGGATATCATAAGCTGTATACATCTTGGGATATGCCTATCACCTAATGGATTTTGTTGTCGAGCAGCACCAAGTGCACAGAGTTCCTAAAATCTCATGTTTTAGCTGTATAATTATATGGTGGTGTTATGTCAGCAAATCCAGTTTCGTTTTTTATTCACAGGCTCACATTAGATTTATATTAGGTACATGGAGTGAAAGAGACTTCAGATTAACATGCTTCGATATTGATTTATGGATGGAGAAGTACTGTAGGCTGGTTGTATGTCTAAAATTTAACCAAATGGTCATGTGGCACAAAACAATGGCTAAGATTCTGAATATAGAAAATGACCATTTATTCCTTGAATAGTTTAGTTTTGGTAAGTGAGCCATATATTTATCTTTTTTAAAGTGCAATATTCTTTTTTACAAATGAGCATTTCTACCTCTATTATTTAAGACTGAAAATATTTGTATAGATCAGAATAGTTATTCTCATAAGTATCATTACAGAAACTGTTATGTGAAAACATTAATTTGAAAGCATTTGTTATATATAGAAATACAGTGTAGAGTGTTGCCCTGTCTATTGTTGCCCTGTCACTGTGTATTGATGTCCAATTCACAAATGTGCTGTTTTTCCTTTGTTTAAAAGTAATACGTATATTTTGCACAGTTTTCATTTCTAAGATCCAAAGTTTTTAATAAACTTTGCTGCTCCACTATCCTTTCACAAGTATTGGATTATCCCCCCCCCCAAAAAAAAAAAAAAAAAAATTAACGATATTTAACTCTTACTTTGCATCAACATATAAATGTCTGAGTGAAATGTCTAGATTTCAGTCCACAAACCCTGTGGAAATAAACATGGTGACGTCTCCGTGATTTAAAGGTGAAAACAAGAAAAGCACTCCGAGAGCGCAGACCTCCGCCAGGGAAGCAATTTTGATTATTATTGATCCAGATCACCACCAAAAACTAATCACCTCTTCCTTGGCCCACTTCTGACAGTTCCTGAAAATTTCATCAAAATCGGTCCATAACTTTTTGAGTTATGTTGATGACAGACAAACAGGGGTGAAAACATAACCTCCTTGGCGGAGGTAATAATTAGCTTGGTTTCTGTATATTTGCAACTACTGGCACTATGTTTTTAACTAGATTTGCGAGATGTAATCTGCATGATAAACAGATATGCCTCCGTAAGCTGTTGTTTTCCTTTAATGTGTGAAAGTGGTTGTTTTTAGTCTTGTGCACAGCCCTTTTGACATCTTGTATCATTGAATTCCATGAAAAAAAAGGTTTTAAAGGGATAATAACTTTTTGTTTTGGCCAAAAAATGAATTTTCCTGGAGTAAACAATTTTCACATACTTACCAATGGTTTATGAATCCATTTTTATGTACAGACACAGATGTGTCTGTACATATTGCCATCACCTGCATCTGTCGTCGTCACCTGCGCCTTGCACTTTCCTTGCAAACACGATAAGTGGAAGGCAGTGTTACTTTTTGGCTTTATATTTACAGAGCTGATGAATATTCATAAAACGCAGGTCAAGTTCGAAAATCAGCATGATCGGGCCATTATTGTAGAAGTTATGCTGTTTTTATGTACAGACACAGATGTGTCTGTACATATAGCCATCACCTGCGTCTGTCGTCGCCGTTGCCGTTGCCGTTGGCATGCACTTTTACCGTAAACACGATAAGTGGAAAATGGTTTTACGTTTTGACTTGAAACTTACAGAACTGATGAATATTCATAATACGCAGGTCAAGTTCGAAAATCAGCATGTTCGATCCATTTTTAGGGAAGTTGTGCTGTTTTTTCACTTCTTTCAGCATTTATGCAACACCGTAAACTGACAAGTGAAAAACCGTTTTACCTTTTGGCTTGAAACTTACAGAACTGATGAATATTTATAATACACGGGTCGAGTTCGAAAATCAGCATGATCGGTCCATTTTTAGGGAAGTTATGCTGTTTTTTCACTTTTTTCAGCATATATGCAACCCTGATAACACAATATAAGAAAAACAGATGGGCCAATTGTCATTATACTCACAGGACTGGTCAATCTTACCAAAACGCAGGTTGAGTTCAAAAATCAGCATAATCGGGCCATTTTTTTTAGAATTTATGCTGTTTTTTCACATTTCCTCAGATTCAATTCTTTGCCATGTTAACAGTCTCATTATTGAACTAATAAGAAACGTGTTTGTTTGACATTTCCTGCATCTTTAGTTGATTGTGTAAAAATGATGGTAAACTTTTTATTGTGTATTGTGTAATAAAGTGTCAAAATTGGAAAAAAACTCATATCATTGCAGTTTGTCAGATTCAATCATCTACTATGTTCAGAATCTCAGAATGGAGGCAATTGGACATTTAACACTGTTCTATTGATATTTTTCCCATCTCATCAATTTTCTTTGTTGAACATATAAAAATGGCAGTAAACTGTTTATTTTGTTTTATGTTAAAAAAGTATTAAAAATTGAAAAAAATCCATTGCAGAACAGTGCTGTCTTGTTTACATTTTGGCTTTTTCAAGGTGTGACTTTGAAGTTCCATGGGCCTGAAGACCCTTGCTAGTCACATTTTCTGAATATCCATGATACAAATATTTTATTATTAAAAATTGATGGTCATTATGCTGTTGAACATTATGTAATATTGCATCAAAATTTGAAGGAACCCCTATTTTGGGCACTGCTCCCATTATGACCATTTAACGAAAATGATGTCACTAACTGTTCTCAAACTTACAGGAAAGAAACATGGGACTAAAATACAGCTTCAGTAGGCAATGCAGTCTGTTTGGTAAAATTTTCTGGCAATTAAACAGTTTTTTTGTGAAAATTTAATTTTTCACATTTTGGCATTTTCAAGGTGTGACTTAGAACCTCCACGGGCTTGAAGACCCAAGCTAGTCACATTTTCTGAAAATCCATGATACATTTATTTTATCATTAAAAATTGATGGTCATTATGCTGTTAAGCATTATGTAATGTTGCATCAAAATAGAAGAAAATACAATTTTTGGTGCTGCTGCCAAGATGACCATTATGAAAATACCCTGTTACTTATGACTGTCAAACTTTCAAAAGAGAAACACAGGACTAAAATGCAGCCCGAGTTGGAAAAGCAGTCTAATTGGCAACTTTTTCTGGAAGTTATACATTTTAGTGAAATATTCATTTTAAATCGTTTTGGCATACGTTGTGGGATTTGGAGCTCCCATGGACATGAAGCCGAATGGTAATCAAATTTTCTACATGTCCATCTATTTATAGTCAATAATCAAAAATTGGTGATAATTATTCTGTTATTTATTATGTAATGTTACATCAAAATTGACAAAGATCTTTTTGCACTGCCACTACAAACATTATGAAAAGAAAACTATGTTACTTATTATTATTTTTAACTTACAAGTATGATTTTTAGGATTGGCATGCAGTTCAGATTAGAAAGCCAGCTCTATTGGGTTATCATTTATTATTGAATTTATGCAATTTTGTATGAAATTTTCATTTTTCTCATTCTGCCATTTTGAAAGTGTGAACTTGAACTACCATGGGCCTGAAGCCTTATGCTTGTTACACATTTCACTTACATCAGTATTACCTATTGAGCATAATTGAAATTTGACGTTGAATTTGCAGTTAAGTATAATGTACTTTTGCACCAGAATTGACAGTAGCCTATTTTGTGAATTGTTATTTTCTGCTTTTTGTCTCTACATTTGACAGCTTTGCTGCCTTGTTGTTTTTTGGCCTTTACACACACGCACACACACACACACACACACGTCTGGATTGAAACATCATTGATCAGGTTATAGACTTTTAAGTCTAATGGAGTGAAGCTAGCAATACAGATATATGTTTGACATCATGTCTGGTGTTCAGCATGTACCCGTGTCACGTGTACAGTCCGTTCTGCATGAACCATCCGTCCTGACTGATTGTACACGCAGCAGCAGCGTGTATGAGCCGTTCCATGAATGATCCGTTGTTATTCACCTGTACTGTTATATTCGGCTAGTTCATTTCCTACCTCATTATACACTAACTATGATGGGGATAAAATTCATATGTAAATTGATAATTTTGATAGAGAATCAGCGTCAAATTACAGTTCGACGCATGGATGAACCTACCGTGGACGGGCCGTCGTTATTCAACTGCTAGCTACTATTTAAGTATTGATTTTATTAGGCTAGTGTTTTGATAAGGCCACCCTTGGACCTAAATAGAGAAGGACAAGAAACGCGGCATCTTCCTTTGAAGCTATGTGCGTTCGGGTAAACATTCGCCTATTGTCTCACATAATCTGTTTTGATAGCTCCACGGGCTTCTGAACAGCTTACTATCAAGGTAGTGNCAGCTCTATTGATATTTTTACCATTTCATCAATTTTCTTAGTTGGTCATATAAAAATGGCAGTAAACTGTAATTTTGTTTTAAGTGAAAAATTGTTAAAAATGGGAAAAAAACACTTCAGAACAATGCTGTCTTGTTTACATTTTGGCATTTTCAAGTTGTGACTTTGAAGTTCCATGGGCCTGAAGAACTTTGCTACTCACATTTTCTGAATATCCATGATACTAATATTTTATTATTTAAAATTGATGGTCTTTATGCTGTTAAACATTATGTAATATTGCATCAAAATTTGAAAAAAAAACCTATTTTGGGCACTGCTCCCATTTAAGAAAAACCATGTCACTTACTGTTCTCAAACTTACAGGAAAGAAACATGGGACTAAAATACAGTAGGCAATGCAGTCTGTTTGGTAATTCTTACTGCCAGTTAAACAGTTTTTTGTGAAAATTAAATTTTTCACATATTGGCATTTTCAAGGTGTGACTTTGAAGTTCCACAGGCTTGAAGACCCATGCTAGTCACATTTTCCGAAAATCCATGATACGTTTATTTTATTCTTAAAAATTGATGGTCATTATGCTGCTAACCATTATGTAATATTGCATCAGAATAGAAGAAAACACAATTTTGGGTGCTGCTGCCATGATGACCATTATGGGAAAACCATGTAACTTATGATTGCCAAACTTTCAAAAAAGAAATACAGGACTAAAATGCAGCATTAGTTGGAAAAGCAGCCTAATTGGCTTCTTTTTCTGGAAGTTATACATTTTCAAAGTGTGAACTTGAACTCCCATGGGCCTGAAGCCTTATGCTTGTTACACATTTTACTTACATTGGTATTACCTGTTGAGCATAATTAAAATTTGATGTTGAATTTGCAGTTTAACATAATGTACTTTTGCATCAGAATTGACAGTAGCC